AGCCCCACGGTCAGTGTGGAGATTACTTAAAATATTAGAGAAAAAAACAATTGCAAAACAATATGGATAAATGCACAAAACTTCCTTGTAAGCACCACCTAAGCCAAGAACCTCATTTCCCCAGGAGCCTGTCCATGTGCCTGCGCCAATTGCCGCCTCCCCTCCCTCTGAACTGAGTCACCAACCCAACTGAGTCCTGAGGGTCACCCTGAGCGTTAAGGCTCTGTGCTTCACTTGGGTGTCTTAGCAGTCTGCAGGGGCCCCTTCCCGTGCTGCCCGGGGAACCTATTGACGTGGGGAAACAGGGTGCAGGAGGGCGGCTCCGTGCTGTCCTGTGGGTGGCACACTCCGAGGCAGGGAGTACGGCAAGAACATCTCTCGGCCCCTGACCAGTCCCCTGGGCAGACAGAGGCAGGACGTGAGGAAGACACGGGACTTGGTCCTCGAGCCCAGCATTCCTTCCACACGCCTCAGACTCCCACGTGTGTAACCAGGCTCCAGGGCACAGCTGCCAGGGAGGGAAAGGAGAGGCCAGGGGCCGGGTAGCACAGCCTCGGCCAGGCCTTGCCGGGGCAGCAATGCAGCAACCACACTTGGCACAAGGGAGTCCCTTGACACGGTCCTGAAAACATGATGGGGTGAGGAGTGCTCTTGGCTTTTTCAGGCCTCCGGGGCATCAGAGGTAGCGACACCCGAGAGGCCGTGGGTCGAGATGAACCAGAGCACGGCTCTTGGGAGCCAGCCCTTGGCCTGGCCCTGTGGCTGAGAGGACTCCTGCACTCCAACCACCTCGCCCTGTGAGCACCACGACCGTGCAGGACTCTGGCTCCATGGCAGGGGCCGGCCTGGGAGAAGTGCCTGGCCTGGGTGCCCATCCTACAGGGTCAGAGCAGCGTCCAGGCGCATAGCCGTCTCCCCGGAGCTTGCAGGGCTCCCCAGTGTTCTTGGACAGCAAGGTGGGAGCAGCCCACCAGGGGGCTCACCTGCACGACCCCGCCACACCCAAGCACCACGGAGGACGAGATAACCTGATGTGAGTCATGCGATCCCTGCAACACCTGGCGGTCAACACCCGGTGGGTGTCAGCCCTCAGTGGGTGTCTCATGGTGAGGGCGGCGGGGAGAGAGGGAGCAGGTTGGTTGGAGCAGTTCTCAGCAAGATGGAAGGTGGGAAAAATGTGGGGGCCGCCTGGCCTGGAGAGTGAAGTGGTGACCCCGACCCTGGTTCCCCTGCCCCGGAACCCAGGGAGCTAACCCTAGGGTAGGAAGACAGCCCACAGGGATTTTCACCAACCTTGTAGGTGCCCAGAGTGGGGCCCTGGGAAGCCGGGTGAATAGGGTCCCTGAAGGTACCCGAGGGGCTGCCCCTGGGGGTGGATGGTGCACAGCCAGGGAGGCCACACACGGCCTATGAACTCACCAAAAAATTCTGCCTGAACCGTTCTGGGGAGAGAGAGAGACCAGCTTCCATCGGAGAAGTCATAGGGGCCCCTGATATCAGAAAGTTCCAAGAAACACTTTACTGGGGGCTTGGGAGTGAACGGCCCCCCAAGAGGGTGCCAGCTGGGACCCTATGCATCCCAGTCATCCCAGCAGGTCGCCCATAGGTAAGCCCAGCTCTCGCCTCGGCTGAAACTTCAATGCCCAGAGGAAGACGACGACACACGGTCTTGCTGAGGCTGAGGCACAGGCTTGGACGTGCACCTGGACAGCATCTCTGCTATGGGGTGCCGCCGACCGGCAGGTCCTCCTGGGAGCACTAGTCCTTGTGGATCCCAAGCCAGATTAAAAGCCGGTCTAGAAAGGTTACGGCTCGAGACAGCCAATTATCGCTGCAAAAGGGAGAAGGACAGCATTGTATTTGTGATGCCAGAAGCTGTCTGAGGGGTTGCTGGGCAGGGCCAGGCCTAGCTTCAAGCGTCCCTAGACAAGCCAGGAGCTGGAGCAGAGGCGCTTCCAACAGCGGGAGTGGCCTGGGGTGGCAAGCAAGACCCCCTCTGCCTGGCCTGCCCTGAGAAACTGCCGGCCACCGCGGGCAACCACACAGCCCTCGCTCGGGGAGGAGACAGTCTCTGCGTGGCGGCCTGTGGGGGCAGATAAGCCCGGGCCAGGCAGGAAGGCGGCTCACTGCGTCAGGACCCCCTAGTCCCACAAACAGGAGCCCCATTCCTGAGGCCCGAGTCCCCCACTGCTTCCTTGGCCCATGCAACCTTCCTTGCAGCCCCTCTGCCTGCTGGGCCTCGGGCCAGAGCAGAACAGGCAGCAGTATTCACTTGCGGGAGGTCCTCAGAGCAGCCGAGCCTGCTCCCATGACTCTGCCCCACGACACTGCTCCCCAGTCCCCAGCAGGGAGGCAGGGTTGCCTCCTGAGGTGGCCCAAAGTGTGCACGAGGGTGTCTGCATTACCCCATGGCTGGAGCTGTGACTGGAATGTGGTGGGTGGGGATGCCATTCTCTGCAGAGTCCTACACAAGGAAGAACCGTCATCTGCTTTTATATGAAGAAACAACCCAGAGAAGAAACCATTGTTTTCTCCGATGAAAAGAATGCACAAATCATGCTACCTCCTCCTCTCTTTCTTTTCCCTCCCAAAGCCTCTCCCGGGTTAAACACATGACATTCAGCCAGTAGTACAGGCATCCAAGGGGCCATAGCCAGGCCCTGGTGATGGCCGGCCCACGTGGGATCCGCCCGGCTAGAGGCCTCCTTACCTGGGCATGTCAGTGGGGATGGAGCACCTGTGATCCAGAAGCATGTCAAAGCCATGCAGACTTGCTAGCAAAGAGATGAGACACAGTTAGAGACCAAGGCCAGGCAGCAGGGGAGGGCAGCCATTCCTATAGGGGTTGGGCCAGCACCCCCAGGGCAGAAGGCAGGAGTGTCTTGGGGAGGGGGACGCTCAGAAGGCTGTGCCCGGAGTGCATTTGTTCTCCCAGTAAGCTCAGAAATTGAGCCTGTGATAGGGACATACTGTGTCCGTGGTGGCAGGGCCCTGCCACTGTTCTGAGGGGGGCACACAGGGGCCTGTAGGAGAGCAAGAGGGCAGTGAGGCTCTTGGTACGGCCAGCCGCTTGTTCTAATGAACGGATTAAGTCACTTAATCCTCATACAACCATCATCCTGGCCCAGGTAACATAGCTAATCAGCGGCAGTTCGCACCCAGCCTGCTTCCAGAATCCCTGCTCCAGTTACACCGAGCTGCTCCCGGCAGAGCACACCTGCACCGAGGCTTTACGTTTCTGCACCTTTCGGCATGTTCCTGTGCAGCACAAACGCCTTTTGTAAGACTTTCCCCTAATAACCAGCCCTGCCCAGGAAGAACTCCACGGAGCGCTGCTCCAGTGCATGGCTGGCGGGACCCCGACTCCCTGGGCCTCTATGGTCCAAGTCCTGGTCTCCATCCCACCTCCGCACCGCGTCCCTGGGGACGAGTCCCCTCCCCGCCCCCCCCCCAGCACCACAGTACTCCAACCCCGGGAGGTGGGCAGGACGCCCGGTGCTGGCACCAGCACCCCAGATAAGACCCCACTGGTACCAGAAATGGAGGGATTGGGATCCATCATAATCTTTTGTTTCCTAATTATCTACAGAAAAATTATCTTAAATGTATGAAAAAATTAATGGAAAGCTCCGTGCCAGCACTGTTTTAAGCACTTTGCATGGATTATCTCCTTTAACTCTGATACTGATCGTTAGGATGGGAATTCCTTTTCTTCTCATTTTACTTAAACGAAAAGCAGAGGCGTCTCCAGCAAGTGTGTGCGGTAGGTAGGCAGCGCGAGCTGGGCTGGTCGCACGGGGGACGGCGACAATCTCCGGGGTTGGGCTCCCGGCTCGCTGCCCACACTCCGCAGCCCTGCGCTGGGCCCCCCGGGGCCTTCCGGGCGCCGTGCGTGACCCCTACCCAGCACTCACACTCGGGGTGGGGACCCCCTGGCCGCCTGTGGGTCGGCCTGTGGGCCACACTCCGTGAGTGGCAGTGCCCTAGGGGTGTGGATGCAGGGAGAAGGCGGGTCCCTGTGCTTTGTACTTTGAAACCCTGTATCCTGGCATGAATCAGAGTGGAGTTTTTTCAGGAACAGTACGGCACTCCTCACAGAACCAGCTCCTCCATCACAGACGCCACCTCTGTGTTAGTTTGTAGGGCGCAGGCCGCAGGAGAGAGACAGAGGGGCGGTGGAGAGGCAGCACGGTGGTGGCATCCTGGGTTGGACATCAGACTGCGGGTGCCTTAGCGCTGGTCCTGCCCCTCACCCAGCTCTTGAGCCCTGATCTTGGCAGGCACCATGAGGGGGTACAGTCTACAACCCCCAAGACTCCAAGGGCCTGATACACCCAGGTGGCTCCGCCTTTGGCTCAGGGCGTGACTCCAGGGTCCTGGGATTGAGTCCCACATCGGGCTTCTTATGGGGAGCCCATGTCTCCCTCTGCCTGTGTCTCATGAATAAATAAAATCTTAAAAAAAAAAAAATGACTTGGAGGGCCTGACTCTGTGTCATATACTCAGTAATTTCTCCAAAGTCAAACCCTGGCATAAGTTGAGCTAGTGGTGGTATTTACAGAATGACTTCCTAACAGCCCCTAGCTCACTATCTTAAGGGAGGTGTTGTGGACAGAACTATATCCCCAACATTCTCAAGCTGAAGCCCTAAACCCCCATGCCTCAGAGGGTGACTATGTTTGGAAACAGGCTTTTTAAGAGGGAATTAGTTACAGTGAGGCCATTAGGATGGACCCTTCTCCTCATGACATGATAGTGTCAGGAGAGGAGGACAGACTGGACCCAGGGACTGGGGTGCATGAAGAAGCCCAAGAGCAGAGGCATCAGAAGACACCCACCCTACCAACAGCGTGAGCCTGGATTTCCAGCCTCAGGACTGGGATGAATCGTTGCAAGCTACCCAGTCTAGTAGCAAACTAATACAGAATCTTATATCCACTTTGTATTCTGACCACTGCCTACCATGATTGAGGATGGTAAGTGAATACAATAAACTGAAAGGCTGTTTGGTTAATACTTTTAATTATATGATTATAATTATACAACTTTCACTATTCAATATTTTGTATAAAACCAGTACAATACACAAGATTTTCAAACTCAACAATATATATCAAACTACATAGATATGCAAAGTTTACAGGCCATTATGAAGCTTTATCTTAAAAATACCTTCAGGAAAATAAACATTCAACCAGTTCTCTAGGCTTTATAAAATATGATTAGAAATATACATTTTAATAAAAAAATCAAGACAGTGATTGATCAAATACTGATTCATCAGTTACATTTTAAAACTTTTAATAATCTGTACACGAGTGCAGGTTAGATAAAACTCTGCAAATTATTAATATAAAACTGCAATACTATAATCAGATGGACACATCTGCTGACAGTTAATTCTACTGGGCAATTAAGGAGGTAATGTCCTACACAGTATACGTGAATTGTCCAGTTTTTAAAAGTCATCTGTAGTATTTCCACTTGGCAACATGAGTACTCAGATTTAGAGAAATGGAAGAGCAGGAGCCAGCCTTACCAGAACAGCTTTAGCAGGAGGTAACTAGTAAAGAATTAAAATGTTTTTAAAGTTGTCTTTGATGAGCACTGCCTTCCAAGCTGCAATAATTACTTAAAAATGTACGAAGAGAAACAAGCTACTTTTAGAACCAACATCGAAAGACAGCATTGCTCATTTGCCATGAATGGTGGTGATTCAAGCAAAGGAAAGCCTCCAGGAGCTCTTGGCACCACACACCCCAAGGCCTGGAGGCCCGCATGGTGCGCACAACCGGCCATTAGGCTCCAAATGCAGTTGCCTCATGAGAACACTGGGGAACTCCTCTAAAAATTGTCTGGGCCCAAGAAAAGAGTAGAGATCACCCCTGTGAGAGGAGAGGAGAGAAGAGGATGAAGTGGGTGGGTGACAGGCTAATGGGGCCAAGTTTGGAACAGAAGAATGCTGGAGACTAGAAGAGCAGCGTGCCACCCAGAAGTGGCAAAGTGGACAAGGAAGGCTACTTGCTTTGGTGAGACACTGCTCAGGATTTACCCCTCTTTGTGGACAACTAAGAGATTTCTAGTTTTTCTTTAGCATTACAAAATAGAAGTCTGTCTATACTTCTAGATACCCAGTTTTGCAGACACCCTTCCTTTGGACTGTCTCTGACTTTGGACACAAGTTCCCCAAAAGCTTCAAGGACACCTAAAAATATTCATTTCTAATTTTAATTCCAATGGAAACTGTCTTAGTGTACTTTGAAAGTTATTTAAGGCTCTTAAGTTTAAAGGATTCTCTCTGACTCTCCCTATTTCATATTCCATAGCAACAGTCTTTCCATGACAAGGACTTGAAGTTAGAATTTCAGAAGATTCAGGGTGTGTTTAAGTTTCTGTTGGGGAAAAAAAGAGTCCGCTCTTATTCATAGCAGGAAGAACGTTCCATCAGTGAGACCCAGAGGCTTCCTGGTTTCCAGATCCGCCCTCAGTAAGTTGAACAGTGAGCTATGAAATCCCCTGAAGCACACCCTAGTCTTGGTGTGATCCAGGGAATACTTCTTGATCAAATCACTAGTTTCCCAGGACTCATTTCAGTGAGACAGTTAAATACAAAGATTTTTTAGAAAGAGCCACAGTGATAGCAATTTTAGCTGGTAACTTGAGCAGCCAACACAAAAAGGCAATTTGTAAAATAAGAAGTACTGTGGTTAACACTGAAGCCCAGATTTTTCACTCTTGGCCAGGACACAAAATGGCTTATTCCCTGTGAGGGAGACAGCACACTGAGCTTGTTCTGATGGAATAAAAAGCCAAACTAAGGGCAGTTCAGAGGGAAGTTTGATTTTCAGAACTACCTGGATTATTTAAACAGAAGATGGCCTTTAAAACTGTCAAAGTAAGAAGAATTGCCCTGAGAAGCCAATGTTTTATGCAAGGGCACACAGTCTGAATACTTAGTATTGTCTCCTAGCACAAGACAGCAAGTGGAATGTTTCTCTTCCCATCCAAAGCTTACCCAAGAGGGGTCTTCCTGTCTCCCATTTGGTACATGGGTCTTTGTACCTCGTTCACTTCCAGGGATAGGAAACCACCTTTCCTCTGAGAGCTAGTCTCCGGGGTTTAAAAAGTGGCATTACACCCATTACACCTGGCGGGGAAGAGCCCCTTGTCTGACCAAGATGATGGCATATGCCATCTCCCCTCGAAGCCAGTCAACCTTATCATTTACTCCACAAGAGAGGAAATATCAAAATGGAGCCATGCCTTCCCGTAACTTTTTGCATTAACAGACTTTGATCTGTTTATTCCAACTGCTTCTTACAGTTCTTAGTTTTGTTAAAAAGGCAGCTTTTAAAGATGGAATTGCCTGCTCACCTGGTTCATTCATCTTGCAATGTGAAGACATGTGCCTTCTATAGCCTTTCCATATTGTATCCCCTGTTCTTCAAACCAGGACAGGCAAAAAATTCTATTTGGGGCTCCACTGTTTTGTTTTAGCAGCAAATAAATTGTTTTTGTGATTGCTTTACAACACAGACTCTGCTGTGTTTCTGTGGTGGGGGTGGGGGTGGGTGAAGGCACTCTGCAAAGAGTTAGTTGTAGTCCCTAACCAAAGGCAACGGTGAGTCTCTTATTTACAAACAACTGAAATCCGGATGCAAATAACTCTCACTGAAATCAAAGGGGGCGTGAAAGGCCTTTGGCTGATCACATAAAAACAGAAATCCACAATGCTAGAGACAGACCCTAATAAAGCAGTACCTTTTTTTCCCCCCTTTTTAAAGCCACCATTATTTGGGATGGCTATTTCCAAGGAGAAACACCAAAAGTTTGTTGTGTTTTTCTTATCATGCATGGAAGGAACTAGGGCTTTGATTTCTATGACCCGGCAGCTGCTCAGCAGGCAGCCATGGCGTCCATCCTGCAGTCCCTCGCCCACACACAGGAATGACTTCGCCATCACCTTCCAGCTCTGTGACTGGTTGCCCTCCCAATTCCTCTAACACTACCCTCATAGTCTCTTCCAGTTTAGGTTGCCAACGTCCCACTTTGTATCAGAACATCCAACAGTCTACAAACACGGTTTTCACAGGTTCTTGTTAATAAAGCACTCTTCGGTGGAAGACAAACAGCTTGGGTACTTAATGGAGTTACCAATACAACAACAGTACAAATACTAAAGTGAAGATGGTTAAACCAAATAGTATCAAATTACAGAAAGTACCACTTCAGTAACGCCTGTTTTCTCTTTATAAATTTTGACACAGGGTGAACAGAAAATAAATACGTAAAAAACCTCCATCAGATCGTTACTTCTGAAGGCCAGCAGCTAAAATGATTGCCATCACAGGGACACACGGGCAGCACACAGACTGGTCAGCTTTCCTGACAGCAGAGGGCTTTGATATTTACACCTGAGACGGAATTTATAACAGCTTTGTCGTTCAACTTGAGACGTTTCTACCAAAAGAGAGCTGGGTCTTCTTCAAGTCACTGCTTGTGCCCAGACTCAAGTAGTAATTTAAACTCCCGTGGACATTGTCTTCATTGAATAAACTTCTTAGGTGGAAAGCAGCTAAGGCCTTTGCAATTTTGCTTTGTTTCCAAAGAAATTGTGCTAAGTCTTGCTGTAGTTCTCTGTTCCTAGAGTCTTCCTTCAGTTCTGGTCACAGGTTTTTATTTAACGCAAGACTGTTTTAGTCCTTGAAATGGAGGGACTACAGGGGGGAGAAAAAAAAGGATTTTACCATGAAGGTTTCCAAGTGTCCCGTACAGAGTTACCCAAGACAAGGAAGGCAACATAATAAAAGTGGTGACATGCTAAGAGGTATACACTTTGTATAATTCTTTAATGACAAATATTTTGAAAGAGATAGTACAGTATCAACCATAAAGTAAAGACAAACAGGAGAGAAAGGCAGAACAGAAAGAGGTTCGGTTCTGCAAAAAATAATGATAAAAACAAAACGAGAAGGGTGGGCAGAAGCAGCAGAGCAATGCGAGTACCATAATGCCATTAAAGGCATTTGTTGCAAAGCATTCCTTTTCCTTCCTTCCCTCTGAGGAACCAGGCTGTGAGAAAGGTGGAAAGAATGAAAAGATAAAGAAGTGTTACTTGGTTATTTCCAAAGCCAGAATTTGGTCACAGAAAAAGCTCTGGCACCTCAAGCAGTTTCCAGGGGGGCAGCTGCACAGGGAAGGCACCCACTGCCCGCCATCCTTGGGCTGCGCCGCGGACCCATCTCTGTACGAAATTAGCCCACACTGATTCTTACCCTATCTCCCTTCTGTCCTTCCCCAATTTATTATGTCAACTTTCATCCAGACAGCAACTAGCAGAGGAGAAAAGTAAGCAAAGACAAGAGCCAGAGAAGCCAGTATCATCTAGAGACATCCCTCACTGCCTGACACTGGCGCTCCCTCAGAGGAGCACATCGGAATCGCTCACTCAGTTGTTGGGAGACGCAACAGAATACGGAGTACAGAGGTCCAGGTCAGCCAGTGCAGCAGAGTGGGAAAATGTCTGGAATTACAAAGGGAAATCAGTAATTTAGAGGATTAGAGGAAACCAGCATTGTTTTCAAAAAGGATATTTAGCAACCACATTCTGGAGCTTCTAGACTGATGTTTTTTCAGAGATAATGGTAGTAACTAGAAGTTGGGAGCCCAGAGGTGGTAGAATAGACACTGAGATCTGAGCCTGGAAGGGACGAGAAGCAGTGGGCAGACATGATGATGACAAAAGTCATAAATGAGAAAGCTTAAAAAGTCAAAGAAGTCCTAAATATAGTACTCCCAACAGAAGGGCTCATGAAGACACATTTTCAGAGGCCAAGGAAGGCACCCTGAGTATTTCTCTTTCCTCATAGTATCAATAATTGGGTACAAAACACTCTCAAAAGTCACAAACATTAGTTTGGTTTGACAGGTGGAACAGAGAGTGATGGTTCCTGGATGGTAACTTGGAATAAAATAAATAAATAAATAAATAAATAAATAAATAAATAAATAAATAAATCACTTGTCAATGACCACTTTCTAGAAAATGAAGTTATAATTAAAAAAAAAGAGAGAAAGAGAAAAGGAAAGACTATTCCAGAGAAATCGCACAAGCTTACAGAAACATGCACTCGATGGTAAGTTGTATCAACACATAAACTGAACTGCATGGTATTACATGAGGTGGTTGCAGGTCTTCAGTCAGAGGCATAATGGTGGAATTTTCAAGACAGTTCGTCAGAGAGTTAAGAGAGAATACTGAGAACAGGCCAATTCTCCACTGAATTTAGCAATTCTTAAGAAAAAAATAATAGAATGATGTACAGCTTTCACAGGAATCGGGAGGGGTGGAAGTCTACTGATTTACTTCTTCAGACTTGACAAAGGGGATGAGGAAGGTGCTACACAGAACCCTGTCAGCCACCACCAAACCAAACCCTCCAGCGCTCTGGGCCTGAACTACACAACTGTGCCAGAGCAGAGCCTGGCACCCAGGAGTTAAGGTTAGATGTGGCTTGTGTTCAGTGGTTACATGAGGGAATGATCATCTGCCATGAGAGAACATGGTGGTATTTCTTCCCAGCAACAAAGATTTAAGACAACACATAGTTTTGCAGCCTCCAAATAATTGCTCTTTTAATGTTTGTGGAAAAGCTGTCCCAGATTGTAGAGTGTCTCAGTAAACTGTCAAAAATCAAAAGAGCCAAATCAGTGGAAAGTGAGCTTAGGTGAGGTCTTCATCCTGGAAGCCTCTAAGAAGAGAACAGAAAACGGGAATAAATGGTCAAGTTCCTATGGCAGGACAGGTATGACAATGACGATGATGAGTGAACATCAACCTGCAAAGAGAAGGCCTCATGGCAGGGGGAGGGGGTAACAGCGGACTGGCAACCCTGGCACCTTGGAGGCATTTATTTTATACTGAAAGGTATACTACTTCATTTCCTCGTATTGCTGTCTAAAGCAAAGTTTTCTATTCAATACAATTACTCAACAATTTTATATTCTTTTGTCTTGAATCAGATTATGCACAAATGTGTTAATTCCCTCATTACCCTCCAACCAAAAATGAATGCCATTCAGTAGGATAAAAGTCTGAGGCTATACAGCTGGGCTACATCAGCTCCCACTATTTCCCTAGAAGCAGGAAGTGGGACCTGGACCTAATGTATTTGCCTCCGTTTCCTGAGCTCATGGTTAAGGTGATGCGAACACAGGCCAAAAACCCAAAAGAGGCCAAGACGACCCTGCGTGAAGGGAGGTGGGTAAACACACTTGAAACCCAATTCTCTCTCACTGATTTATTTCTTCACCTCTCCCAATCTCTGAAAATCCATTCCAAGAATTTAAAAAGAAGCCTTTTGGTTATCAACACTATCCCAAATGCCTGGAAACTGCTTTGGGCCATTTCAAAATTCAGTCAAGTGTATTCAGTCTGAACTCTACTTTCAACCCCTCAAAGCATCCAGTCCAGGGACCTCAGGCAGATGCTCTCTGCAATCAGAAACCACTTCTGCTGAGAAGCACATGTTTAGATCACTAGACAAGACCTAGATGGAAAAACTGCCACAGGGCCACGGCCCCCAGGGGCACATGGTGTGACTGGGCATGCGTGGTCCTGGCTCCTGGACTCTATTCCCCTGTAGCCTGAAGAGCACAATCCAGAAAAGCAGAAAGCAGAATTTAATGTGCATGACATATTCAACTGTAATGGAAGCCTGAGTAATTAACCTAAAAGGAATATGTTCATTCAAAATATCTATCTCTAACAGCAGGCTTTTTATTTGAATTTTTAATAGTTTAATTCACCTAAATATGTCAAAGTTAAACTGCTCCCATTTCCCTCTACTTCTTGTAAAAAAGTTGGGAGAGAAACAAAATGATAAAATCCGTAACTGTCCTACCAACTAGAAGAACTGTTAACATTATGGCATATTTTTCTGTTACCTTATTTCCATACATGCATAGAAATGTATGTATATATATTTAAATATAAGTGTAATACATACAAACTTACATATTATACATAAATATATCTATAAACATGTAGTTGTATGCATTTCTATAAAGTATATTGTACATTTATAAAATTATAGTTAATACTTCATAATTTTTATGTGTAGCTCTTTTCACTTATTGGTTCATGAGCATTTATCGAGGCCATTAAATTTTCTTTAAAAACATGACTCTTGATTCACTTGGTATAATTCAACAATCTTTAGGCCATTTCCTCTTCCTCAGGGTTATACATACCCTTCTGATATGTTATAAAGTACCTGAATCCTTGACTTTTTGTCAGTATTTCTCTAATATTCTTCAAGTTGAACTAGAGAGTAAACAAAATTATAAATATTTGATAGCTTTCTATGAAAAATCCAAAATCCCCAAATTATGAGTTGGTGCCCTCAAAGCCTTGTACTAAGGCATGATGATCACATTCTCATGTAAGTAAACGTATGTAGTGAAATTATATGAATCAGCAAAGAGGGGGAAATGGCAGAACTGAACAATCCCTTAAAACAACAACCTCCCCTCCCGCCCCCACACACACAGCTCTCCGGTTTGTACCAAGTCCCTCAGGACACAGGCTGCTGGGACCTGTCCCAGAGATTAACTCAGCTGTCCCATAGCCTCAAAGATATGAGGACAGGAAGTTAAAAAGAAGCAAAGAAAATTGTGAAGCATGCTTTGGAGTCTGGTTCAGACTTTCTTCAGGCCGCTTGTGGTCTAAGAGAGGTGCTGGGCCATGAGCACAGGACTGCACATGTTGTCAACACCAGGCAAAGATACACAAACACAAAAAGGGTGTCTGCCTTCCACTCCTGAGATAACAGTATGTAGGTTATCTGTTCTTCCCTCAAAGGGGGACTGCTTCTAGGATATGTTAGATTCTAGAAATATCTGCCTTCAGTTCATGATAAACATCCAAAAACAATGGTGAGGGCAGCCCTGGTGGCGCAGCGGTTTAGCGCCGCCTGCAGCCCAGGGCGTGATCCTGGAGACCCTGGATCGAGTCCCACATCAGGTTCTCTGCATAGAGCCTGCTTCTCCCTCTGCCTGTGTCTCTGCCTCTCTCTCTCTCTGTCTCTCACGAGTAAATAAATAAAATCTTTAAAAAAAACAAAAACAAAAACAATAGTGAGTAATGGATTTGGTCATGGAATGTGTGCATTTTCTTGTCATAGCCTGTAATAATGAAGGAAAGGAAGATGCTGGGCTCTGGGGGGAAAGCATGAGGCTCCTGGGTGTGGACTGTGGCCAAGAGACCAGGCCCTATGTAAAGAAGGATCCCAGACTCACTGGAGTTCTCATTTCCACCATCGCACTTATTTGCAGCTAATTCTCCAACAATTATGCTGTATCTGATATATAGAAAAATTTCCTCCGAGTCCTGACAGAGAGCTTTGGAAATTCAAAAACCTGTAAGTACAACCCTCTCAACCTCCCCATAACCTGACCCCGACCACACTTTCAGTGTTGAGAACCACCTCTGAAAAACAAAACAAAATAAATCCTACATTAACAGTGACCCAGAGTTTCTGAGATGGTGAATAAGTCGAACAGATTTGATTAATTTCCCATCACAGGGACTCTGCTTTCTCCTCTCTTCCTCTCTTCATTTCTATCTCCAGAAGATTAAATTGGAAAACCAATGTTTGGAACTTTTCAGAAGAGTAGGATTCTTTTCTCACCTTTTAAAACTGCTTTTTCTTGAAGC